TTACAAAAAAATACAAAGTAATGAAAGACAAAGTTTGGAGACCTTAATTATTTTGTTTTTTGAAAATTTTAAAGTAAAAAAAAATCGAAGTACATAATATATGAATAATATAAATCTAGACCATCATCAGTTGTATCTAAAACAAAGCCACGACTGCCTTGTATACAAGAAATATTTGAAACTTATATCTGGCTTTAAACAAAAGGAGATACTCCCATGACAGATTTTGACTCACTCGCCACCTATTCAAAACACATAACTATAAAAATATATTAGAATTCACCCTTTTAATAGTAAAATAACTTAAAAGACTTAATACAAAATATATTTATGTCACAAATTCTTCGTTATACATATATACTTAAAGATTTTTTAATCTTCTATTATTATAAAGCAATGTCAGAGTTCATTTAAAGTTTAAGCTGAGACTACATAATAACTAAACGAACTCGTCAGGTCGGGATTGACCTAAAAATCAAACATTTCAATGTATATTATACAAAAAACACATGCCCCGGTATTTTATAAAGAAACAGAGAAAATGATAATGATAAATTTATTATATTCATTTTTTTATGAGAGAAAATAATTATCCTTTACAATAGGTATAAACTTGTAACTAATAATAATACATATATACCACAAAAACAAATCAATTCTGGGCACGGAACAATTTTAAGTAGTGCTGATAAAAATATACTTAAAAAATATGTTACATGATCCATTTAATAATTAACATATATAATTATGTATTAAAACATATATAATATGTGGTATATAAAATTTATTGATTCGTAATATACAATGTTATAATGTGATAATATTATTGATGAAATCAAAACTACATGTTAACTAGTGTTTACAACATTGTAGAATAAAACTCCTTTAAAGTCATGAAGTATAAATTCATGTGTTTTATTTACTTCAAATAACTATAATACATATTTATGTACAGACCTTCAAGACTTTGAGAAGAATATATATATTGACAATTGACAATATTTTTGTAAATATATTCGTTTATGTATGTATAGGCGATCCTATAGGATACAATCATACTGAAAACAAGTATAAGTTGATTTGGAATTAAAATGAGTTTACTTTTATATGTTAATAATATTAAAAAATTAAGAAATGCTGGAAGCATGAATTTATGTCAGAAAAAAACAAATTATTAGACCGTAGACGTGATACATTTCAATCGGTGAGTTATCATAGTGTGATAGCCTGCGTGTTACATTATAACTTTGTAATTATTATTGAAGATAATGAGGAGAACTACATACACACATACATACATACAAACACACACACACACACACATACATAGGTACACACACACACACACACACACACATAGAACTGTGATATCATCTGTTAACACCGTGATGGAATATTTTTACAATTTAAAAAAAGTTCAAATTAATAAAAACACGAATAAACAAGAATATAAAATATATAAGATAAAAGAAAATAAACCAGATGTTTCTTATATAACGACGGTAGAGATTTTATAGCGAGGATTATAAATATTGATTGTGTTAAAAATAAAAACTGATCAATAAGTGTAGTTCAACTTTTAGTTTCTCAAATAACGATATTTTAAACGTTTATAAAAAACGCAAATCACATGCCTCCAGTTCTAAAACTGTTCAACTTTCATCCGTATAGACCGGTTCGTTTTTTCGAAAGCTTTAATATTAAATTGAAATTACACATTGTCTTAAATCTATAACAATAAATAAAATTTAAAGGTTTCTTTGTTATTTCAAATAAAAAACTTTTCACTAAACGCATATGAGATATGTATATACGATAACAACATCAAAAAGGTTTTTTAAATATTTTCGTTTGTCTGTTTCTCTGAATGTTCTCGTTAATCTCTAGAATGGCTGGAACAATTTTGACGACAATTTCATTCGCAAATCGCAGTATAAGGAGTAACTCACTACAAAATGAATTAATTTCTCAATTCAACTGATTATCATAATTTTTTTTTTATTGATAGAGCATTGTCTTGACTTACTTTCATTGTCATAAAGTAAAGATTTGATGAAGGTGTTGTCGTGAAACGTAATGAAATCTCAAAGAATGCAAACCCATAACTAAGTATAACATTATAATTTTTTACAACAGCCATCAATTTTTAGGAAAATAGCAAAAATAACTATTAAAAAATTCAAAGACAATTTTTATATTCGTCTTCATTAAATATGTCAAAGTTTATTACTAAGAAGTATTATTATATCCATCATTTCTTTGGCATGTTCTATTTATAATATAAACAGCGAATGTTCAATTATGAAATGAATTTATCGCTGTTTTTAATTAATAAAAACAGGTTTCTGATCTATTCTTATACAAATACAATCAAACAAAACCACCAAAACTAGATCTCGCTGGTTCATACTGGTATAATTAATTCACGTTTCATTTTAGACTTCTTTACAACTTATAAAGGTTAGGTACAAATCTGATTGACGATTAAGAAACCGATAGGAGACTTAAGAAACATAAATAATGTCAAAAATATCATAACATCGTATTAATATATAAAATATAAATATATAATTAACGTCATTAAGTTTTAAATGTATTAAGTATTTAAATCCTGATATTATGTAAAAATACAACAATATACGTATTTTAATTACTATAAAATAAAATTATTATTTTAAAGTATACATTTATGTTTCTTTATGACATTGATTTTTAAGCGTTGACGGACATCTCAATGTATGTTTAAATAATATTAACATTTAGCAATAAAACAAATCACTAAGTGTTATGTCATTAAAAATCGACAGAACTCATAATATGGAAGCTATAATATTATACAACACTATGTGGTTGTAAGACTTGTTTAAGATTAAATAATGTTATAGAATCAGGAAGAAAATTTATATCGATAAAGGGAAAGGGTTCATAAGGAACTGGTCGTATGCATATTTCCTACTTAATAATATTAATAATATTAAAGATTATTATGTGATCGGATCAGGAAATGATTAATAAAATAAACTTATAATGAACAAGAGGAATATTCATATAAAATATATATTTATAACAAAATTAATATTAACGTTTCGTTACAATCCTTGGAGACGTTTAAATGAATATCATATATTTTGTAACTTTATATAATAAAGTGTAATGTCGTCAGTAAACAAATGTTGTAATCCGGTGTGAGGGACCGTATTTCAAGTTCTAGGTTAATATTCGCGTCTATTCCCGTTGGTTGAACGACCGGAGCCGGTCTCACAGACCCACACCGGTCTACACATCCCCATGTTTGCCATTTAGATATCATTATCGTTATACATAATATATATACCTCGTTTCACTGAACACGATCGCGTTTTATTATTGCTATAAAGAAAATTTTTAAACTTATTAATGTCTGTAACGACCTCTACTGAGCTTTATGTTTTTATAATTTACCTAAATAAAAATCAATACAATTAAATATAGAAGTACACTAAATATTTTTTTCTAAAACATAGAAAGTTCTTTAAAATATGTACAGTCCTTTCTGAGATTAGCCCGTACGACCGGACAGACAAGGATGTTAAAAAATATATTTTATTATTCACAGTGTTTATTTTTATATTACCAACAAACAACAGAGTTTAATTACCTATTTTTATAGATAAAAAAATATGTAATTCACAGGATTTCCGAATATATTACATTTTCTCCACCCTCGGACATTAATATCAATATTATGAGATGCGTCTAGACGAGATCACGAGAATTTGAATGGGGTCAATGAACTTCATTATACATATATGTATAATGAAAACAAAGATTTAATCATAATACTCCTACTAAGTCCTATCAAGTCTAATATGCATCGTATTAATGTCGTATTTTTCGCACTCTTTCAAATGGATATTAGCAAAATATAAGAGATAATTTTTCGGCTTTGTACTTAGTACGTAATTGTAGATTTGATTTTAAAAGTATATAAAAATTAACGATAAATAGTTTTTCGGTTCGCATATATTTTTTACCGGTAATCGTAACCCCTTTTATTAAAAAAGTTGTTTTTATAAGTAAGTATGTAGAACAACGCGAAATAAATACGACAAAAACGTGATGTGTTTGGGAATTTGTGTTTCAAACATACAAAGTTACAATTATATCGAATGCAAAATGTATAGCAAAGTGAACAAAGGTTTCTTGGTGATCGAAACTTTTAGAAAGCCAAGAGCTCAAGCCTAAAGAAGTCAGTTTTCTATAGAATTATCTCTAAAAGCAAAAAAATATAGAAGATAGACTTCTTCCTTCATCACGATCACAGAAAAGAAATTGAACATATTGCAGTTTTTGTTTCCTAAATTATAATTTTGCCTATTTCAAGTACTATCCAGACAATATATATAACAAATAATAATATGTAATCAAATCAAGTTCCTCAAACAATTTATATACAATAAAATATCTCGTGCTTACAGAGTCCTTGTTATATAATTCATTGTTCAAGATTAATGCGTTTCCTTTAAACTCATTAATTGTTAAATTTTAGGAAAGTTCAATTACGTTTTGACGATGATTAATAGTTGCTTGTTTTCATTCTGACGTTAAAATTAATCACGACCTTGGTCACGAAACAATCCACTTATTGTGTTTAATAAATGAAAAAAATAATCTAATAAAAAACGATTTACGAGCACTTGTATTGTTGGCTGGCGAAAATTGATAAAATAACAATCTGTTATAACAAACCAAAGATGAAACACTTTGATCTTTTATAAGGAAAGATTGCTGACAGCGACGATAATTCTTCCATTCAAAAAACAAAATAGTAAACAATAAACAAAATGATTTCTAAATAAAACCAGAGAATGTGAACAAATAATAGTTATATTATTAAGGAGTCCTAACATCACATCAAAAAAATACCTTCCAATCAAACTCACTCAACTGCTTGTATAATAGTTTCATTTTAATAAAATTGTATCCATTAAATTATATTTTCTTTATTATTTTCTACTTACCCTGGTGCAGAAGCTGCATCCACATCCCGAGATGACGGTCACGTTATCAGAGGTCGCGTCGTCTAAGCAAAGCTTGCAATTGATCGGAGCGGCTGGGACGAACCCACCAGCGTGGTCCAACGAGTATCTGAGAAATAATATCGAAATGAATTTCATAAAAAAACCTTCGTTTCTCACTTTACCCATAGATTAATTATGATCAAAAAGAAACACTGCCTATACTTCTAACATAAGCATTTGTAACTATGGCATGTATCCGTCCGAGGCAACTATCCGGTTTTAACCCTAACAACAACAAATTTGTAGATATATTTTATAAACCCTAAATATATTCAAATTAACGAGAATCTAGTATTTTAGTCTTAGTTATGACAAATGCGACTAGTCTTCTTTCCGTATCGTCCTACAAATATGTCCTCAATTAATCCATTTGACCCTCGACCTTACCAAGATGCCATTGTTAAAATCTAATCTTGATTTTTATATTACTTTATTCAATTTATTTTATGATGGATGATTTTTATGTAATTGTGTCAATATATTTAATTTTCTTTATGCTAACGTTTAGTTCCTATTACATAGCTTATAAATATATTATGTATTATTTAGAGCATATTCAAAGTACCTTCCCAGGTACTCTTTTCAAAGCTGAACCTTCTTTAATGACGGCTATCATTTCTCAATGATCGTCAATTGTATTACAGCGTTAGAATCAGATAAATAAATTTATCTCAATTTAAGGTGAATAAACCACTTTTATTTTCTTCCAAACATTATACAAATGTATTAAATAAATTATCAAAGGGTCACCTTGCTTTCAATGTAAGTAAACAAGTATATTCGTTCTTATACCATGCGACTGGAGTAAGCCTTATGAATGTTAAATGAAACTAATATTTTTCGGATTATACTTCGCGTATTTTATTATTGTGAAAACTACAAACTCTACACGTTTCGGTTACATTTCAGAAACATCATCAGATCACAGGCAGACGAGATGTAAATGTCTTGTCTATGAATTTAATTTTTCTAGTTCAATTTGATATTTTTTCTGAACATTGACCTTAAGGGGTTCTTACATATTTTCGTGTTGAGCATATATAATTAAAACGATGATGATAATAACAGAAATAATCCTTTTTTTGTATTCTAAGGTGTTCGAGAATAATCTTTATTTTAATGTTAATATAGTCGAAAGTTCAAACACCTCTTCGATTACCACAACGTTTTTACATGCAAAAAACACTGCATAATCTTGCATTTATGATAGAATTAGTATAAATTTATTGTACGTTGTAATTTTATGGATTATTTAATATATTATTTTTGATGTATTAAAAATTTAGGTTTCATGTAAATTAGCTAATAATGGTCTGACAGTAAAAAAAACTACATCCTAAAAATAGACCAAAGAACATTATAATTTGACAAAGCAACATATCTATGTATGTTAATTATCTAATTATTTTAATTGTGAAAGCGGAATACGGTTGCAAGTTTATTTAAGGAATAACATCTTTTAAAAAAAAACCGTAGGTATTAGGTTATTATTCCAGTGCAAAAAAACATGATTTACAGCACAAAAAAATCTAAATTTGACATCTTTAAAAGGTTCATTAACATGTAGAATCGTGTATTTATTTATTAACAAAGACAAAATTCCAAAACACGCGATCAAATAACTGTTGTTTTTCTAACATCAAAAGACATTTAGGGCGAATCGTATTATGATAGGTCTGTTCTAATACGAGATTAAATTATCAGCACGCTATGTACAAAGTAACTTTTATCTAATATGTTAAATTTCCATATCACAATGTTAGTTACCGTACTCCTACGAGACGGCTTTACCGATTTTTACTAAATTTTATATACGTATTTAGTAAGTCTGAGAACCCGCTACAATAGACTTTCATACCCCTAAGTGATGAAGCTTGTTCTCCCCTTTTTTTTTGAAGTATTTTTTTTATATTTTTTAATGTGGCATTAAAAATACAAATAACCCAAAATATTTCTCTTTTTTATCACCAACCCCTATTTTTTATATGACAAAACAACGTTTGCCGGGTCAGATAGTAATTTCGTATGTATCAATGGTTATCATTGTAAAGCCTCGTTAGAAGTTACAAATACCTTAAATCTAGATTAAACTTTTTATATTTGTGACTAAGTTCATTGACCTATTTCATAACTAAAACACAATATCATTTTAATACAGTATAATTATAGTTGAAGACTTAATAGTCAAACCTCTTATATTAAGATTAAGTGGCCATAAATCATTACCATTAGACTAACTGTTTGTTACTTGAAAATATTTAGAATACAACTTTACTTTACTTTACTTTACTATTGTAACTCGAGGGAAAAAGAAAAGTGGATAATTCGCTGGTCTTCTCTGACAAACACATATATAATATATATACACATATATAAGCAAAAATGATATATATAAAATTTTGTTACTATGAACAAAAAAAGTTTTTTATTACCATATTAAACATTTTAAACGACTTATTAATTATCATTTCAACGTAATTTAATATTAAAAATTCAAACCAAAAAAAAAATACGAATTAAAAATTTTGTTTAAGACATTTTAATAAAAAATATTTTACTTTAGCAAAAATATTATATAATAAAACGATTCATACTGTATTAATTATATTCATCTACATTAATTATAAAAACAGTTATTTTTTATTCTGTATGTCTTCATTACACACATACATATATTCTTTTTCTATTTAAAATGAAACTGAACTAATACCAAAATTATAACATTATAACAATTAGCGTAATAAAAGGATATGCTAATTAATTAAAACCTATGTAATACAGATATATTTCCCGCAACTTCATCTACAGGCAGGAATGATTTGGTTTGGAGATATGTACTAATAAGAATAACAGACATGCATTCACTCTAAAATATTTCCGTGTGTATAGTAATATAAAGAGTTCAATTTGATTGTACCCATACGTTACATTGTTGATAAAAAGTGAAATCTGTTTGATTAATCTCGCATTCATAAACCAATGACCTGTTTCACAACAGGAATTATTGAGGTCATGCTTACGTCGCTCTATCGCAAGCTTCTAAATGCACAAACTCTATGACAAAACGGCTTTTATATATAAAAAAAGATAAAATATATATATGAGAAAAATTAATTGTTAAGTTTTACTAATAAGGCAGATGTTATTGTTACTGACCTCGACTAAAGTAACTGTTAAGTAAATAAGTAGGTAATTAGGAATGCTAAACTATTCTCTCAAACTCTATAGTAAACAAAAAAGGTACAAACAAACGAATAGAAAGCAGACTCTTTAGAGACACAAATAACATTTATTCTAACATAACAAACAAGTTATAAATCGTTTGATGAGTTTTAGATGTCAACAAAAGATTAGAAGATTTAGGTTCAGATCGACCTGAATTGTATAAGAAGGCTTATAATACATCGTTATTTACTTATAAAATCTCGTATGTAGATGCTTGAATCAAACTTATATTTTTCAGCCGATTTCGTTTGCCACATTTATTTAGCTTGATCGTTCATTAAGTTATACTTCCAGATTTTACGCTGATATAGTCAAATATAATTCGAAATATTATTTCAACAAACAGATCAAATAGGATACGTCGTTACTCGTTTGATCAAAAGTATAAAAGTAGTGTACCTACATATATATAATATTATGTGTTTTAAATATAATAATTTGACACTTTACAATAACTTTATATTTTTTAATATATGTATTAATATTTTTTTAAATAATTAAATAAATTCGTACATTTATATCTGAAGGAGATTTTTTATGCGATTTAATAGAATAGCATACAATGAAGCATTCACTACTCAAAATATGTGTTTTAGAATTATTCAAACTTGTCAATAGTAATGTTTTAACGACACGTGTATGACTAACGTTGCGATACACGGAGAGTTCATTTCACTATTTAACGCAATGAGAAAACTGGCTGCTGAGATATGAAAATGTATGTTTTCAGAGACGTACTATTAAGAGAAATATTCAGAGACCATTGTCGTATCCACCTAACAACAGTTTGAATAGATGAGTGTAACATTACAATAGCTACTCAACAACACAATATTACTATTCCATAGTAATTTGTCACATAACTGAAACATAAATTATAATAACTTGTTGAGTTGCTTAATGATGCATTACAAATTAAAATTTATGGCAGTAACAAAAGATAGGACGTAGGAAAGTACGCGATTGTCTTGACTATGCCCCAAAAATAACGAGAAGTTTTCTACTATACGTCTATTGCTTAGATGTCAGAATATACAGCTGCGTGCAAAAGTATTAGGCACCCCTATTGTTAGTCACTATCTCATTATATAGCGGTCAAGTGTGTGTTTTATGGTTTAGCTATTGTATTAGCGGCAATTTTTAACCAAATTAAGATAAAAGAAAATATTTATGACATCCAGGTGTGCTCCTTAGCGGTGTTTCTTCGCATTTGCTTTTTTTGCGTTTCGGGTTATAGTGTGTTATCAGTGCTTGCAGTGAACATACACGTCTTCTACGCAACTATTCCTATAACAATTCTAAAGACTAACATTTAACGTGTTAATCATGCCGAAAAAATCTGAACTTAGTGCTGAACAGCGTCTAAGAATTAAGATTTTACATGAACAAGGCATGTCTCAGGTTAAAATAGCCCGAGAAGTGAAGTGCTCGCGATGTGCAGTTCAATATGCTATAAATCGCTTCAAAGAGACTGGCACCCATGAAAATAGACCAAGAACAGGCAGAAGAAAAGTTACTACTGAACGGGAAGATCGATTGTTGATTAGGCAGTCTCTACAAAACAGGAAGAAAACTGCTTTAGAGCTCGCTGCAGCATTATCTGAGGCAAAAGGCAGCTAAGTGAGTGTTTATACTGTGAGAAGAAGACTTCTTAAAGCTGGATTAAAAGGATGTAAAGCAAGGAAGAAGCCGTGGCTGTCAGAACACAATAAGAAAAATCGGTTGGAGTGGGCACTCAAACATAGAGATTGTTCAGTGGAAGATTGGTCCAACATACTGTGGTCAGACGAATCTAACTTTGAGGTATTGTTATTTATTTTATGTACAATATTAAAACACATAAATGTTTTTAAAATAACGTACTGCAAGAAAAATAATAACTTTGAAAATAAATGGGTTTTTTTCGTTTGGCATAGGTGTTTGGAACACCCGGTGTGACTTATGTTAGGCGAAGGGTTGGTGAAGAATACAACCCAGAATGTGTGGTTCCCATTGTTAAGCATGGTGGAGGCTCAATAATGATCTGGGGCTGCATGGCTGCCGACGGAGTGGGCGAAATGGTGTTGTGTGAGGGACGAATGAATAGTGTTAAATACACTGGAGTTCTGGAAACAGCACTAGCAACGTCGATAACGCAAATTTTCGGTGATACAAACACCGATGGCATGAAATTTCAGCAAGACAATGCCACTTGCCACAAGTCCGCACATACCATGAAGTGGTTTGCTGAAAATCATATTGATCTTTTGGACGGGCCACCACAATCACCAGACCTCAACCCGATTGAGCATATTTGGTCCATTTTAAAGAAAAATATCCGCAGGCACTCGATTAGCAATAAACAAGCTCTATTGGCCGCGTTACAGCAGGAATGGAAAAATATATCAAGAGAAGAATGTTTCAGGCTGGTAGAGTCAATGCCAAAAAGAGTGGCTGCGGTTATTAAGTCAAAAGGTGGACCTACAAAATATTAATTATTTTCTTAAAATAAACCATTGTAATCATAAATGCCGTTTTATTTACACTCGCTATGCTAAAACACCCTAAAACTTGTCTTACTGTAGGGTGCCTAATACTTTTGCCCGTGGCTGTATTATATATACATATTCTTCCGATGGTAGTCATTTTTAATATACAGGGTGACTGGTGAATTACTATCAATATTTAAGGAGAATACTCGGTACATGATTCTCATTCGAATTATGTAAAAAAAATAGGTACATACTTAATTTTTGACCAAATTTCCGTATAAATAAATAAAGTGTTGACACGTTCCAAGTGTGGACGCGTGCGGCGGCGTGCTGATACAACAGCACGCCGCCGCCGCCGCGTGTGTGTGTGTGTATACCTAATCTGTAGGGTGTTCACACGATGCGTAATTAATTTCATAACTTTTGGTTAACTTTACTCAGAAGTTTATTAATATTTATGTTATATTAATTTTTATTTTGTCACATATGATCGTCAAATATCACGTCCTCAAGTATCGATAGTAATTCACCAGTCACCCTGTATATGTACCAAAAGTTTCTATTAGTATGAAACTATGTCAGATATTTTGGGACGCTTATCAATAGCAAGGAGCGTGCCGAATGTGAGTTAGCGTGAGGACGACGACGTTCGAGTTACGAATTTAATTTAAATATAAATATGAACTCGATAACATTCACTACGGAATATTACACACACGATGACGTGAGTTACGTAGTTAAGTTCGAACAGACATACCAACATTTGACATTCTTGGTAAGGACTAAGGTATAATCACGTGGAACTATAGTCTCATCTCGCAAATTAATTAATAATGGGTGATAGTATAAAATGTTTTATAACAGATATTTATAGTTGGATAAACCTAACATTATTTTCCCAGACATTACGGTCGTAGGCGGAAGCGAAGCTCTATCTTTCTTAACTGTCAAGTTCTACCGCACACGACGGTAACATAGTCCCAATAGGACCGTATAATATTTTAGAAGACAAAAAAGGCTAAAACTGTATAAGAATTCAAAGTCGATTAATAATCGAAAACTAAATTTATTAATATCAAACTTAAGTACACGTTTGAATATAACTATGACTGAATTAAAACAAGACTTATTTTTTTACGACCACGATTGGTAAGAAACTATCGAAACGTCGGATAAAATAACTAAATTTTTCAAGTAACTTCTGTTGACAAGAATCTATCGAAACATCGGTTAAAATAGCTGAATATACAAGTAAACTCAAAAATAAAAGAATATTTCTTGATTGATACTATAATTAGGAATAGACAAGTTATATAGATATATAGATATATAGATATATAGATAGATATGGTTATTAGTAGTAGATAAGCTATATCTCACCTGGAACCTCCAGCTCCTGCGAGTGATAGTAGTGACGAACACCTGGAACATACGGATGGCGCTCTCAGCTTGTTATGAGCTCTGATCGGTTCCGGGGCCTTCTCACGATCAGTTAAAGCCAGCACGGTGGAACATTTACGAAGACCTGGAAAAATAATATTAATAGTAATCGAGATGTTACTATGACGTCATGATGATGACACACTCTGGAATCGTTCAATGGAAGGAAATGAAATTTTAAATAATTTAGTTTTCAATAACAAAATATATTGTAACGATATTGAAATGATGATGATGATTATTGATTTTATTTAAACATGCTAAAAGTGACACAAATATGTATGTGGATAAAGCTCAACTATATATTTTTTTACAATATTCATCACCTTTGATAGATAATTCAAAATAAATGTGCAAATAAGAAAAAAATCCAACACTACAAAGTCGTGTTTAAATATTAACTGTTTATATAAATAAAATAAAAACGTTTTAAAACACTTTTATGAATTTGGAAAATTTAATAATTAGTTACAAGAAAAACTATACCATAACTTAATTCAAAGGTTTTATGTAAGTATACATTTTTTACCACTGTTCACAGAGGTTAGTATGATTTTACTGACCTTCCAGCAACGGCTGCGGTTGTGATAGGACAGAATCTCTGGAGGCCGCCCTTCGGACCGGTTTAGGGGGCCTGGCGAGGGACTTAAGGCCCCCGCTTAGTATGAGCTCGAGGGCCCGACGGCCCCCGGGTCCGTTCGCACCTGCTCCCATCTGATACAAGAGAATGGATACACTGTTAATACCTACAATATAAACATCACTTGTACATACTACATAAGATAAAAAGAGTCTTGACGAACGTTTTACGTCTTAGAGCATCATAATTCTAAGATTAATGTTACGTAAAAATATAAATATTAATAATTTTAACATGATCAAACATTTATGTATGTATATAAATATCGAGCACATATTCCTTAGCTATAAAAAGACGTTATATTTTTGCTACTAATATTGTTTTTTAGGTTTACTATAAAATAAACCTTAAAGCCAATGTACTTAGACTTCATCAAATAGATATCTGAATCAATAACGGAAACACCGGATCGCTAATACAAGTTGGAAGGTGTGCTATCGGAGCTATTTAGAAATCAATACTACCGCCGCTAGTTTTGCTCAGCTGAACACTTTACCATAGTTTTAAAATATTTCAATGCACGTTTTATCTGATGCGAATAAAAGAAATTATTCAAAGCAATCTTTCTTTATGTTAATGACGTTCATTCTGTACTTGTACTTGCTTATTGTATTACCGATGACATTGCTAAGAAAATTATTGCTCATTTTGTATAAATAATGTTGAAGGTTTGACTTGTGAGTGAAGAAAAATTTAATATTTTTTAAGGAATGTTAATAACGTTACATAGTGTTAATTAAAAGTTCATTAATATTGTATAAACATAATAATAGAGATAAATATTGATATGAGGTGAGCGAAAGTTCATAACTGGTACTTATAGGAGCAACAGCAATGCAATAAAATACAAATATTATTTATTCATTTGTGAAGGACTTTTGATTCGTCATAAAATTTACTTTACGAGTCAATACGTCAGTACCTATTAAAATGAAATGTTTATAGGATATGCTACGGATTTTTATTATTATATTTTACATTTTATCCGACGTTACAGTTACTCTACATCAGTGGTTACCAACCGGTGGTCCACGGAACACCAGTGGATCCTAAGTTTTTTTTATTAATGTTTATTTTCTTAGTCATTCACTTTAGTTTTCTTATACATCGTAGTCCCATGTGAACAACAAAGAATACAAAGTGGTCCTTGATTAAGAAAACGTTGAGAACCACTGCTATACATAATAAACCATGATTATGGACGGAAGAGATTAAAATGTGTGTTAGTCAGTCTTGTTCTATGTCATGAGTCATGACCAAGTACATCCGAAAATGACAGTTTCATTTAAAATTCGTTTTCCTTAATAATACTTTCATTAATAGAGAAAGGGGCTTAGACGGTGGAGGTGAGCGTTTAAAGCGCTTTAGATAGGGACCGCTTAAGCCTACACGGTCTGGGTCACAAGTCCCAGTCACTGTTGAAGCTCCTCTCCCTGTAACGATGGACCCGACACCCGCACCGTGAATACATGGAATGACGAGAGGTTTCGTCTCTTTCGCCTCATAAATTTAAAATATTTGAAACGTATTACTGTATGTATCAGAATGTCTGATTATGATTATGATCTGTGACGATCATCCTCATCACAATGAAATAGTATCTTACTCGTGTAATTCTAATCGTTGTGCATATTAAATTTTTGCCCCTAATCACAGAAAAGAATAAGCAAATCACACTTTTTCTTTTGATTTTATGTTGTAATATATATTATTTTGTAAACAACATGCATTCAATTTGCACAAAAGTTTCGATTAACTTGTAGTGTTTACGGAAGACGAAGAAAAAGTATGTCAATATAAATGTAATTTCATTCGTAAAAACAACAGAAAACATGGATTTTAATTTCACTGTATGTGTCTGTGTAGATTAAAATCTATAAAATTTATTTAAATAAAATCATTGGTAAATAACGCTGTTTCGTAATATCGAAATAACTAGATTTTTCAATATTATTAGGGCTAGTAAAATAGAGCAATGATTAAATAATGGTTATATTTAAAAAAACTAATTATCAAAGGAAAAAATACTGTCCAAGCCAGTTGTGTTCATAACAAATTCTTGAAAGAAGGTTGTTCACAACAATTCAGCACAAAGATTAAAAAACAAAGAATGGCTCACTGAAAGGTTAACGCTTCCGGTAGCATATAATACCAGTGACGTATTCAAACCAACCGTTTTATTATTTTAAACCTTATTACCATAACGAAAGGTTACTTTTTATATTAATAATAATCAAAGTAAATATATAAATCTCAATCACTAAGAAAGCGTAACAAACACAAATATTTACGTTTCAAAACACTTTAGGTATAACGTCATCTAATATATATATATGTATACACGTTTGTGGCAGAACAAATTATACAAAGAAAATGGAACAAGTTTTTTCATCAAACGATTATATTATATACATATAAGAGATTCGATGAATATTATATGACATAAAGTTTGTCATAATTCTTTAAAACCATAATAATAACAAACAGAAACGAATATTAAATATAATACAACTATGAATATAGAAACGTAATACAACATATTATTGTATGTAAATATAGAAAACGACGTTAAAAGGAAAACACTTTTAACATACAATAATAGAGTCATTACGACTGTATTGTTATAATTTATAAAATATTCAACATCCGCTTTTTTTCCTTTAACATTTATTTGTAATTAACAATTATAATGTATTGCAAGACTAGTTTTTATCTGCGACTTCATCCGAGTTGTCTTCCCCATAGTGTATTTTATAGAAAGTTAAAAATACGCATGTTATTAGCAAAGGGCGCCATCTATCGCCTACAATGTTCATACTATACGATTCTTACGATTTGTTCCCACGCAAGCTACATGAAATAAGGGCACGGATAAATTACAGTGTTTATGTTACTCCGATGTCTAAACAACATAATTGGAAAATTCTTCGAAATCAATTAAGTATATTTTACGTGAAAGAGCAACAAACAACCATACATCCTTTCAAACTTTTCTTATATATATACATACACATATGTAGGATAATAGCACGTTATATGTACTCGGCGTTATATATTCAAAATGTTTCGTCTAATCACATGTTATACTAATCACAATCAAATTAAAGGCCGACCATATAATCATCTTATTACGTACAAACAATATATGTAATTTCAATTAAAATTCGTGTATTTTTCCGCTTGCGATACGTGAGATCTGTTTCAGTTTATTCTAGTTGTATCTACTGATAATGTAATGCGGATTTTTCATTGGCATTCAATATATATGTAGATAAAAATCTGGCTCGATTCCAATCAACAGTTCCTTCGTACACACTGAATAATATATTAATCGCATTTGTTTTAATACAATACATGACTTGTGTTAAGACATCAGTTTCTTTATAATATGTGTTATGAATACAGGCTCCGATATAATTCTAACAAAACTAACGAGATGTATACATTTTTTAATATGTATAAGTTTGGACCTCTATAAGGACTTTTGACTAAATCTAATCACAGTTGAATAGAAGCAATCAATTAATTATATGATTTTATAAAAAAAATCTCTTTAGTTAGCCGGTATAAGAATAAAATAATATACATATATATATACTGAAATATTATTATTAAGTACAAATGAACTATTAACAAGCATAAAACATTATTGAGCAATTATTTATTTATCACATTTATTCATGACATCATCTACATCGGAATAGATATAAAAAAAAACCCTTCACAATTCACAATGAAACTTTTTTCTATAACTTCCTTATCACGTCTAGTAATATTTATTAATCATCAACAACAATTAGTTATTCATCGATATAACTTACACAATTAAGTTATAGCTCGGTGCCGGTGCGTGTTAACGAGACATTTCTATGGCGAACCAATTGTTATACATCCGTCGGGTACAAACGTGTCTATTAACATATGTATATACTAATTAATTAATAACAATTTAATTAAAATAACTTAGTAGATTAATTAATTATAGTAAAACCTTTCATTAACACATATGTTCGTAGTTACTTTAAGACTGGATTAATAAAATTTCGTATTTTAAAGAAACATTTTTAGCATGAATTTAGCATTCTATTTATAAAGACGTAAAAAAGAGGAGGGAAAAATCTCACCAACGACTGATTATATTAACATAAATAATGTCTGAACCGGTTACTAACTTCTTTCTTTACACTTTTTTCTGTAAACTGTTCCGTTTCATATTATTCGTATATTAATAAGGCAACCATATCTATTTTGCTTGATCTCGTATGTTAAATTTCTAAGAACTTATAGTGCGTTTGATTTAAGCTGAGCTTTGCATTTGTGTGAGTGCACACGGATAGTGTAGGTGTGAAAACAAATTTTTGAATGCCTCGTTCTTTTCTAGTTTTGAACCAGTTTATTCTGCTTTTACTCCGCCCCGCACCTTCCTCACTTCACCCTTTGTGCTGGTAGCAGCTTCAAATGTTGAAAACGCAATGTCAAGTGAAGAAAAATTTGTATTGTTTTTTCAAAATTTTTATTACTTAATATTTTTTTCCTTAATATGTTTTGCTTATTTTATTTTTATCTAGGATAAATCTCGCACTTATGTTATGTATCTAGTTAAATATAATAAAAATGAATTCTAAAAGTTTTTTGTCTAACTCTACTTTTACTTTCACTCACACAAATGCAATGCTCAGCTTAAGTCTAACGGACTATACTCGTGTATACGTTTATAATGAAACAAACAGACAAAAAAACATATAAACATTTAAAATGCATTGTTAAAATCATCGCTGATTGGACTGTGATAAAAATATATAATAAAATCATCGTAACGACGTAGAGACTGGAATATAAAAAAAAATGTTAAATAAATTATTCGTTTTTCATTCTTTTTAATATTTAAATCAAAACAAACATTTCGATTGCTTAAAAAACTTATTTTTCGGACACAACAAGGTGTGTAGTGTGTACCTTACATTACCATTCAAACAAACATTATTATAATAACTTAATATTTTAAAGTCCCAACTTTACTTCCCATATTTGTATTTCCTTGTTAGTCGACGGAGATTCTTGTTTACATTCATGA